ATATATTATCTAATAAAGAGAGTCTCTTAAAAGTAAAACGTACTAAGAGTACTAACTATAACTAGATACGTTATACTTCCTATTAAATAATTAACTCGGATAATTAGCTACTATTACTTATGAGATCCTATACTACTGTAAGTTAATAATAGCTCCCTTAAGACTCTTTCTTTAGACCTTATAGAAGTTCTAGTATTATAAACTTTATCTTTACGTTAAAAAACGCGTTATACTAATAAGCTCTAGATATACCCTATAGCTTATCTTTACCTTTTAGTATAGGTCTAATACCCTTAACTTTAAATATATATATAGATCCTTAAAATTAATCTATATATAGAAATTCTTTAAGCTAATTCTATATATAAGATAAAGTAGGTTTTATTTAATAAGCTAGTTACGCTTAATTCTAGCTATAATCTAAATTCCAGTAGCCTTCTTAATTATAGTAACTCTAATTCTAGTAATCTTATTTCTAATAACTATAATTTTAATAATCTTAGTTCTAAATACTAACTCGGACTATATAATAATATTATAACTCCCTTCAAGATTAAAAGTATTATAGCTTCTAGTTTTAACTATTAATTATAAATCTATACTCCTTAATATAAAATCCTAATATAATTATTATAGTATCTAAGTAAGCTATATAAGATAACTATTTATATAAGTAAGAATTTAATAATAGGAAATCTATTATTTAATCTCTACTATACTATACTAGATACCTTACTCCTCTTAGTATAGCTAAGTCTATACCTTATACTACTATATATTCTAAAGATGTATTTAATATTTTAGATAATAAAGATATAAACTTTTAAAAAGCTACTTATATTTCTAGAATTTAGTTATATAGTTACATAAAAATCTTAGTAAAAAAAGGCGGAGCCTTTATAGACTTATTTTATAACCTAATGGCCTTTTTTCGAGAGGACTTTATTTCGTTTAAATTCTCTTATACCTATAAGGCTAAGATCTTAAAGTAACTAACGTAGACTTATTTAGAGGCATTAATTTATAAGTTTTAGAGTATAAAGTAAGATTTAGGAAGTAGTTATAAAATATATAAGAAGAGATAAGTAGTAGCTAAAGGTTCTAGTAACTCTATAAATATAAATAGTACTTTTATTAGTTATATAGCACTTATTTATAATTTTTACTATAGGAATAATAGTAAGTTAGACCTTTTTTTTAGCTACTTAAATTATAAATAGTTAAATACTAATATAAGATCTTATAAAATATTAGTTTAAAAACATAATATAGAATCTTCTTAAACTCTATTAAAAAATAAAAGTAAAGGTTATACTTTAATAGTAGATATTTTTATAAAAACTTTAAGTATAAAAACTTCTTCTATATCTAAATTATTAGTTAAATATATTTTAAAGCCTCTAATTTAATAATTATAGTATCTAGAAATCTAGTATTCTATATCTTACGCCCTAGTATAATATAGAGAAGCGAATTTTCCTAGTAACTAAACTTTAAATAACTCTAATAGAATATTATAGGATTATATTAATATAATAGAAGTATATAATATAAGCCTCTAAGAATTAAACACTAAACTAGAATAGGACGTTATTAAGTTAGAAACTAGTCTTATCTTATTATATTTATAACTTAATTTCTCTAGAAATATATAATCTTATAGGTTTATAATTTATATAATAAAGTAGTATAGCTTTAAAGTAACTTATAAAAATAAGAAACTTAATTAAATAACTAGTAACTAGACTATTATAACTTAAGTAAAAAGGTAGTAAAAAAAAACAGGCCCTAAGGATATAAATAATACTTAGATAGAACTATTCTAAAATAAGCTATAGTATAACTTAGAAACGTTAAAGTTATTTAATAATAGTACTAATTAGGAACGAATAGCTACTTAACTATTAAATATAATCTTTATAAGTATTATAGAGCTAATAGTAAGACTAAGGATTTACTTAGCTATATACTAGATATTAGTATTTTAAGAAGTAAAAAACCTTAGAAAGAGAAAATATTAGGTCTTTAGAGAAATAGTCTATAGGTAACGTTAAATAAAGGTTCTTTAGTTATCTTCTTACATAGTACTAGTTCTTTAAGTAGAATAGAAGATCTAAGCTAAAGTATAACTTATTGTTACGGAGTTGGAGGAACTAGGGGTTGATCACGTGTAGCGCAGCATGTAGTATGTGTCACGTGCGCGCTGCTGGCATCCTGTATTTAAGCTCTCGTTCCTCTGGAACTCTCTTCCTTCCTCACTTTGTTGTTCGCTCAATACAGCAGTTTCCGTTTGACTCCGTATTCATCACAGCAAGCAGTGGTTCACTCCACACGGTTACATTGGAGGAACTAGGGGTTGATCACGTGTAGCGCAGCATGTAGTATGTGTCACGTGCGCGCTGCTGGCATCCTGTATTTAAGCTCTCGTTCCTCTGGAACTCTCTTCCTTCCTCACTTTGTTGTTCGCTCAATACAGCAGTTTCCGTTTGACTCCGTATTCATCACAGCAAGCAGTGGTTCACTCCACACGGTTACACTTATTACTGTAGTATACTAGTAATAATATCTTTATCTACTTTATTTAGTAGCTATATTCTTAGTTTAGTTCATAGTCTAAGTAGTAGTAGAGGTAGTAGCGCTTAGCTAAATATAGATAGTAGTATAATAAGTAGAGCTCTAGGTATATCTAAGAGAAGGTTTTAAGGTTTTTAAGTAACAGTTTATTATGGAATAAGTAAAGAGGAAGTATTATAGTCTCTAGAGTATAATCTATATCTAATAAGCCGTTAAGATAGAGATATATTTATAAAAAATAAATAAGTAGTTATATATAAAGGATAAGAAAGGAGAGAATACAAATAGTAATAGTAAGGTTAATAAATAAGATTCTAATAATAAAAGAGTAATAAAATATTATCTAAATAGTAAGGAGTTATCTTAAAAGGGTTAGAAATAGGTTAATATTTATAATAAATAGTAGATAAAACGCTTTAAAAGTTAATTTATTATTTTTAGATTTATTTAAATACCTATAAGTTAATTACATATAATAGTTTTATACTTACAAAGTATTTTTAAAAGTAAAAAATAGTAAATTAATTATAAGTTACTTAGAAATATATTAATTTAAAGGATATCTATAAGTACTATTAGTCTAAATACTAATTTTAAAAGTTAAAAATTCTTAGTAAATCAATAAAATAGGTTAGTATAATATTAATTAGTTAAATATAAGTAACGTAATAAATAGGTAGACTTATATAGTAAGTAAATATATAGTGGTTATAAATCTTTATAATTATTTAAGGATCTTTTTATCTTTCTTATAATAATAAGCTTATTTAGTATATAAGATTCTTAAGTTATTATATATTTAGGTACTGATAAGTAATTACTAACCTTTAGAATTCCTTTCTTATATATATATATATATTGTTTATTTATCTAGCTATAAAGAGCTTATTTACTAAAATTTACTAGATAAATAATAAAAAATAGCTTAAGTTTATAATATATAGTAGGCTCTAGTACTTTATAGAAGACCTAAGGAAGGTATAGGTAGTAGTAATAATCTAAATTATTATAAAAGGCTAAGTATAATCTTAGGTTATTAAATAAAGAGTAAAAGTTAATATAAGGTTTATATATTAATAATAACTATTATAATATACTAACTAATTATAGAAAAAGATTTTAGCTATCTTAGATAAAAGAATTTAAAGGAAAATTATTTAAATAATAATTCTAATCTTTAAGATAATAACTAAGATAATAATATAAGAATATAGGTTAGTTTTTGATATACTTACTTAGTTGAATATATAGTATTAAGAAGACTAGATAGCCTAGAGGTAGAGCTAATTAATAATTGCTCTATAGAACTTAGCCTAGTATAGTATATTAATAGTAAACTAGTCTAATTTCTACTATTATCTATATTATATCTTATACTTATAATTACTATAGAGTATTAGGCTAAGAACCTCCCCTAAAGGCGAAGAACTATATATAACTACCAATTTCTTAACTTAACTTACTAACTTTAATAAAACTAGTTAGACTACCTAGATAGTATGACATAAAGAGCTATATAGGTACCTAATTAGAACCTAGAATAGATTTCTTATTACTTAAACTTTCTTTAATTATAAAATCTAGAATATATAGTATAAGTAGCTTTTTATAGTTATTTAATTTAGGCTTTAAGTTCTTAGAATATATGTTGTGCTGGGTCTACTTTCTCTTTTGCTCCACTTCCTTATTTGATCCACTTATAGTTCTGCTGCCTAAATGCTTCATGTTTGCCTAAACCTTACACTCTTTATATAAACACCTTAGATAGCTACCTTTTACAATGCAATCAATTCTCCATGACCTTCAGTACCCAATACCCTTTCAACCCAATAATATATTATAATAGTTAATTACTAACTAGTAGAATTATCTTATGCTAATTATTAATTATTACGCCTAAATAATTATAATACTACTATAAAGTATAAGTATAGTAATTAGAGTAGAGAGATAAAAAGAGACTTTATATTTATAGAAGTAATAAATAGAGGTGGATTAATTACTAATCCTTTATTACTAATCCTCGCTTAATAGGGGATTATAAAGTATAAAATCCGAAAAGTAGAGACGTCTACTTTATAGTACTTAGATCTCTACTTTTAACTACCTAATTAGGCCTGTGTACGAAATTTTCGTACGTGTACGAGAATCTCTACCACCGAGTTCCCAGAGGGGAGCTAGATGCTGGATAATAGGAAACAGACGGCTACAAGCCTAGGAGATACGACATCCTCTTCAGCAAAGCTGAAACTAGATTGTAGGATCAATTGGTCGTGCATAGAGACTGTTAGAGACCGGTGATACTCTCGTTTTTGTAGGTAGTTTTTAATCTCCTCTGAGGGAGTCCAACCACCACGGAGAAGGGTTCTTATTAATCTCATCCCAAATTGCTGCGTCTTTGACCTCTCTGGGATCTCGTCCCCGGCCTACATATTCTTCCCAGCCATCCTCGAAAGGTTCTTTTGCTCTACCAACGCCAAAACCCATCCTACATAGTGTGCAGATTCTAAGAGGTTGATTGGATCTTTTATCATACCACTTTTCAATCCAACGATACAAACAACGACTACCTAGCTTACGAGGGCACGGTAGCTTTAGAGGGGAGTCAAAGCCATCGTGAAGACGGGTGTGCCAAGGCTGGAGTGCAGCCACTCGCGGTCTTTCGCTGAATGTCTCTTGACAAATCATACACTCTCGATCATCAGGCGGCAGATCAGAGGGCTCAACGTGGGTGATGATTTGTTGAAGTCTTTCCCATACAAGCTTTACCTTAGGTTTCCGGTCGGGTGCGAGCTGTGGATAATACTGACGGAACAAAGGTGCATTCATCTCCAGCAGTTTGGCCCAAAATATCGCGTAGGCCATGAACAAGGCATATACTACACGATAGTAGATCAGGATCTGAGCTTCTGTTGGGCTTGGCTCCCAAGGTACATATGGAGGATTTTTATCATCGTCGTTATCACCGGACTGGAGGTTGTTTCCTTCGTTACTTCGTCCGCCCCCCTGACCATCCTCGTTTCTAGTGTTGGGGACTCCTAGACCCATCTCGCTATGTGTTTGACGATTGTTGCTTCCTCCTCTCGGCTCAGGTGTGTCCCAGTAGTCAACACAGTTTTCCGTGATCGCGCATGAAGTACTCTTTCGATGTATACAAGCCAGCCAAAATCCGACTTCGATAGTGGTCGATCGATTGGAAACAACGAGAGCTTGTCGTTATTTTCGTGACCCAAAAGCGATACGTTCATCCATGTGTCTCTATCGAGCTTCTCGACAAGTTTTCGACCGTAACGAGTGTTGAAAATTCGGTCTGCTTGTCCACGTTCCTCTATACTAAGCGTGAATCGGCCATTTTTCCGTGTTGAAGGCCGGAATACCTTCTCCTCAAAATGCATTAGGCAGACTTGCTTATACACATTGGTGATATGTTCGGTCTTGTTGCATGGGATTTCGGGGTTTGCTAGGGCGTTTGCACAGCGTATAAGTTGCGCTCCGGTCGTGATTGGCCAACATTTCACGTTCCCATGATCATCACACGCGAAACGAAAGTCCCAAAGAAGACACATAATGCTTTCGCAGTTGTATGTCCTTAGGAAAGTTGTTGCTGTTGTCGCTCTTGGTTGCAGAAGTAGGAAAAAGTTGAACTTGTTTTGGCTCGTTTGGGGCTCGGGTTTTGTATTGCGCCTGGGTTATGATTGCATTCACTCTCAATTAGATCCACTAAATAAGTAGGACTGCCATTGTCTCGACGAAGTTCATTTCCTTCATAATGTGGAAACATGAATCACTGAAGTAGCCGGATTTGGGTTTTCGTGCCCTCGAGAAAGGATAGGAAAGACACTACGATAAGAGACACAAGTATGAATGTCTATACTCGTTTGATCAATGACTAGAATTTGACTTTGAACATACCGCGCTTTATCTGACTACAAAGAATGGTCTTTGATGAATGTGTCGAAGATTGTAATATCTCATGAAAATTAGTCGACCTCACCACATTAACAAATAAGGCGAGGGTTGGAAAGCAAGACTCGAAGCGATTTCGATAAGCTTATAGTAAGTGAATCATTGTAAAGTCTTGATTGATGACCCAGGATCTTTGTCAGAATTAAGGCATCTGGCTTCGTTCCTGAGAAGAGCTACAGTTTTCCGAGGTCCATAGATCTAGGCACGACCAAGTTGAACCAATTTTGTAACCCAGCTAAAGAGGATATGTTCAACATATACTATACTACTATACTCAATTCTGTAATTTTTCACTTGATAATTTGTCACGAGAACCGCCTAATAATCTTCAACACCTATGTATTCGGGTAAGGTAAGAAGGCTGCAATTATTGAGTTCGCGGATTATACTAACCATTCTCGAGAGATAGTCTCAATCTATGCAACCACTCGAGCGTTTTGGGAAGAAGTTGTCAAGTTGTCGAATGATGTCCTTACTCTTATGTACTGACGTTCTCGAAGTGCACAGAACCACAATGCATATCTCACGCATAGTACTTTATTTTGGGATGTTCTTTTGTCAATTTGCCTCAAATTAAGCGTATAGACACAACCTATGGATATAAATAAAAATTCAACTATGTTTTCTTTTGTTTTGGAAAAGATTGTCAATTTGATTTGTTCCCAGGACCAAAGCCTAGAAGTGAAGTTAAGTATTGTGAAAAATGCTCTCATTTTGCACAAATGGGGACTGCCACCCCAAACATACTGAAATGAGGCTGCAGCAAAGTGAAATAAAGTGACCCCCGCCAGCGTTAAGTCAATTCAACGGTCTTATTCCTTACCCCTTAGTATCTCCAACCACCATGGTGAAGTGTTCTTGTTGATCTCTGCTAAAATCGTAGAATCCTCTACAAGCAGAGGGTCAAGCTCGTCAAGCCAGCGAAGTTCCTCACCATCTTCAAATAGCACTCTGTCTCCCACTACATTGAGCTCCTCCTCGCAGACTGGACAAACGATTAGCGGTCCAGGGTTTTCGACCCTTTCCCTACAAGCATTCCAATCCCAATCATGAATCTTACGCCGCAAACAGTGGTAACCTACGATATGCTTGCAAGGCAACACGATAGGACTATCGTTCCATCCAGAATTGTGGAAGGTTGTCTCATAAGGTTCTCTTGCTTCGAGTTCTTCCCTCTCCCCCAAAGGGCGAGAACAAATTTTGCAGTCCGGATCCGTGGCCAAATCCTCCAGATTAAGATGTTTGATAGCCGGCTTAAGCCTTTCCCACAAAATATTCTCTGTCGGGTGTCGATCATCCTCCTCCTTATAAGGGAAATAGTACAAAAGTAAGGTTCTGTCCATTTGAATAGGGTGATCTAGAACTCCGTATTAGCCATCAATAACGCGCATCTCACGTGATAATAATTCCTGAGTTGATCTTCGCTTGGTTTTGTCTTCCATGGTACGTGGATACGTTCGACTCTCTCTTGTTTGGATTCATTCTCGTCGTTTTGGTTGGCAGAAGGAGTTTCGCTTGTCTCCCACACTATTTTGTTCCAACCCAGTGTTCCCAGATCCGCTCGTGCATAATTCTTTCCAAATTTGCCAGCCAAGAGTAATCTTCCATTGATAAAGGGCGCTCAACGGGAAAGACGGGTGGTTGATGAGGGATATCTGGGTGATGAACGCGTTTATTTTGATTATCGAAAATCCATTTATTGCTATCGAGCTTTCCGTCAACTTTGCTCTTGTAATCGAGATTCAAGGCTCGGTCTGCTTCACTGCGCTCCTCCTCATTAAGAGTGGCGATGGGAGACTCCTGAGTACGTTTGGGCCCAAGTTCAAGTTCGGTAATGCATGTGGGGCAATATTGCGAAACGTTACAGTTGACCCAATCGTATTGTTTGCATCTCTTCTCTGGGTTTGCTTTTTTGGCCTCGCAGAGGATCGTTTTATCCGTCAACTTGAGATTGCGGTAATTTCTTCCCGGGCAGTTTGCGAAGAAGTATCCCCATGTAAGGCACATGGTGGTCGTTAAGTGGTATTCTCTGTTCAAAAGAAATGGTTTTGAAAGCTTAGTTGGAGATTGCAGAATCTTGTTGATGTTTGTAAAAGTAGCAAGATTCTCACCAGTGGGTTTAACTATACCTTTATATACCTTTGTCTGAACAAAATAATCAGCTGTTATAAGGGGGGCTGTGCAAGTCAGTTGGCCTATTCATCGCTGGTGAATGGTCTCTAGTGAATGAATGGGATTACTCCCTGCTGGTTTGCACGTACGGAGTAGATAGTTTTATTGAAGAGACAGCTCTTATCATACATAATATGAGGTGAATAACTATAATAGTGAAAGGGAAAGTTCTTATTTAGAATTAACGAAGAAAATATCAGGACAAGTATCAATAGCATCCAAGGCAAGTTGGAAATTAATATTGAATCCACGAAAGATGTCCTTTGAACTCATGTTTAGGTTAGATATAGAGACTGATTGCCTAAGTTTTATAAACCAATTAATCACAAAATAACCCGGACTGCCAGTTTGGTTTCACGATAGTAAGTATGGTTGTCTGATATTCTGTATGTAGTTACCATATTCACTAGCATATCTGACAGACAAATACATCACAATACCCCGCAGCGTTCCATCCTTAGCCAGGCAGGATGTCGGCACATCCCTACACATCATCTTCAGAATGAATGGGCTGTGCTACCAACAACATTGTGCCACTTCACTTGGTCTGTAATTTACAAGTGAAATCTCAGAATGTTGATGCAAACAATGTGTCCTCCCATCTTAGATACTACATTCATAAACATAAACCATATACAGACTTTCCCAATGACATCAGAATAGATCTGTCGCTACTAAAAGAGACAAATTATGACATTCACGATTGGCAACTTCAAAATTCACTTGATTGAACACAAATAGGTCAATCTACCATCACTTCAAAAGTATCCAGCAAAAGAGACGGAATTTACTATAGGTGGCCTTCCCTATTTACTGAGGACAGGTTGAGCAATGTATCAGGCATACGCAAGAAATAAAACAAGAAGCCATTCCCTTGATAGGCCCAGCGACCATGAACAGACCAAATTCAAACTCACGTTAGTGCCTCAGTTATCAAGCGAAGAACTTGGAATGATTGGAGTTGCAGCTCAGCTTCCGCACAAGCCAATGCGCATGGTATACCTAATGATTAGAAGTAGTCAGCGTTGTTTTTGTTTCATGTCAGTGACTCCTGCTAATATGAGGCTGCTATCTAGAGATATCTATTTGTGGTGTTCTCAATAAATCTGAGTTCCAAGCTATTTGGAGAAAACTGGTGAGCAAGAAGATCCCTATTATGTATCACATGCATGCCTGCCTACTATGTAGCAGAATCAACAGCTACTCGAACGTAACTTTCAAGGTTGGCAGGACGAAAATCATATGCGAACTCTATCTTTTATACGGACATAGCAACCGATCCGAGAACAATTTGATTTTGGCAGTAAACGTATACCTACTACAAAAAGAAGTGATAATGTCAATGCCAAGATGCCTAGCAATATGCTACATGATAACTTCAAGAGGTTTGATGTATATTCCAGAAGATTTACAGAGGGTAATAAAGACTAATAAATCTAGGCTAAGAACTTTCAAGGAGATTAATTTTACTGTCTTCGGGAATAAGTAAATATTGGGTTGTAAAAGCTGTTACAATTACCTAAACAAACAACGCAAACTTTCTTTTTAATCATTTGTCCTTTCCTTGATCTGCAAGTACTTATTCGCGAAACTTTAGGTATGGAGTACACTGGTGGTAGTTCAATACCTAGGTAGGCACCAAATCGCAAGACCCATAATTATATCCCGCGGTTTTGCCGATACGGCACCTCTTGGACAAAATCACAGTCCTTCCTACCTCAACCTCCACAACCCAGAGATGCAGACCAAACTCCCGCGCCCTCCAATAAGGGCAAGCGGTACACAGCTATTGGCTTTCAAATCTCTTCCCAGGACAAGTCCATCATTCCGAAGATGGTATTCGGTGGTGACGAATCGAAACTATGACGTACAACCGATGTAACCCTATCAGAAGATGCATACTTACACATTTGATAGGATGCCGTGGAACTTCTCAACACCCTTCAAACGCCATATAACGTCTTGAAATACAGGAGAGATAATGGAATCAGAATTAATAAGACGGCCAATGAGGAGATCTCGAGATGTTTGGAGAAAATCGGGTACAATGTACGAAGTTTCCGGTATTTGTGAATGTGTTTGTTTGTGTTCTATGAATTAGATTTTCTCTGCAAATTCTAAGCAGCCGTTCCCATGCCTTTTCCATTTCTAGTATCGTTTCTCAGCTCAATTAATTTCACATCACTTCTGAATCGCCGATCATATCTCATCAGCGTTTTTTCTTACAAGCTTTGGAAACTGCGGAATTCCCCTTAAGCTATTGAAAGTATCTTCTTCTAACATCTTTCAGCAAAACGATCTCTCTCGTCTCAACATCCTTCACGTGGCTGGTACCAAAGGCAAAGGCTCAACATGCGCCTACATATCCTCCATCCTCGCCCAACACCAGAAAACCACCTCACCCTCAATTCCTCAGAAAATCGGTCTCTTCACGTCCCCACATCTAATAGCAGTCCGAGAGCGAATCCGCATAAACTCCCTCCCAATCCCAGCACCACTCTTTGCAAAGTACTTCTTCCAGGTCTGGAACATGCTCTTATCACCACCCAAGGCCCTTCCAAAACCGGTATACTTCCGTTTCCTCACACTCCTTTCCTACCACGTGTTTCTCTCTGAGCAAGTCGATGCCGCAATCTACGAAGTTGGCGTCGGCGGCGAATATGACTCTACGAATATTGTTCAGAGACCTGTTGCGACGGGTATCACTACTCTGGGTATTGACCATACTTTTGCGCTCGGGGAGACTATTGAAGAGATCGCTTGGCACAAAGCCGGGATCCAGAAGGTTGGGGCACCATCTTTTACGGTTCCTCAGAGAGGGGGTGCAATGAGTGTCATTCAATCACGGGCTGAAGAACGAGGTGTGGAATATTTAAAGGTTGTTGAGCAAGATTCGAGGCTAGAAGGCGTCAAAGTAAAACCTGACGCTGATTTCCAAAAAGGGAATGCGAGTTTAGCTATTGCAATGGCGGAAACTCTGCTGAGGAAAATTGACCCCGAGTTTGAGGTGGATTCCATGAAATTACCCAAGGCTTTCAAAGATGGGCTCGAACAGGTGGTTTGGAGAGGGAGGTGTGAGAAGAAGGTCGAGGAGAGCGTGACTTGGTACTTGGATGGGGCGCATACAGCAGATAGTATTGCTGTAGCTTCAAAATGGTTCAGTGAAGAGACGGACAAGAAGTATTTTATCTACCTTTACACTCCGCTTACATGGCTCCCATCTACTCAAGCTAACAAATGTCGCCAACAGAAAAGTAACCCGTATATTGATTTTCAACCAACAAGGCCACCGCGAGGCGGTCGAGTTACTCGAACACCTCTACCATGCCATCAACAAACACGATGTCGTATTCGATCATGTAGTTTTCTGTCCCACAGTTCTCCTCTCCTCTTCATCAACCAAGAAAGGTAAATTGTTCACCCTGTAGATTCTAGAAATTCATCAAAGCTCACAGCCCTAATAGACTTCATGAATGCGGCAAACGACACGCAAGCCATAACATCCTTAAGCTTACAAAACTCCTTCACAACAAAATGGAAGGAACTCTCATCTTTGTCGCCGCCCTCAACCACGGGCGTGGAAACACAATCCACAAGAATTAACGTCTTCTCTAGTCTCGATGATGCATTCAAATATGTACGCTCATTGCCTCGGACCGAGAATGCAGGGGAGGAAACGAAGGAGGAAAATGAGAAAGTAGAAGTCTTCGTCACAGGTAGCGTCCATCTTGTTGGTACAGCCTTAAGGTCTTTAGAGGGCGTTGATGCTTTGTGATATTTAAATCTCTCTTCAGGCTCAGTTGTAATTGTCTTTGAGGGACGCTCATACTTTGCTAGCCAAAAGTGATGTAGAGATTTAAAATAGAATTCTGTATTTGTATCGGATATATTCGAACCTTGTTCCCACTTGTGGAAACATATATGTATGAGTGTTGTATTCTGATCCATTTTTCATGAATTTCGTCGGTATGTACATCCCATTCTTCCTGCTGTTGTATATCTTGAGATAAACCAATTACCAACCTTTTTGCTTATGAAGCAATGAGCGTCCTATCTCAAGGTTGTTGTCCTGTTTGCCCGTCTCAGTCCACCAATCCAAACCTTTCTCTGTAATGTCATCAATTGAAAATTGGGTATCCACCGATAACTCCATATCAGTTCAAATGTCCTTCCTACACCTTCTCCCCAAAATAAAAGGAGTAACTACCAATGTGAGTAACTGCCAATGTTCTAGTATCTTGTACGCCTAGTTGGCGATTTGTTGACTCTGGACCTCGGGTTGTGCAGTACATCAAGCTTACTTTGGAGACCTCTTGCCTGTCTGGTCTTTTTGGGTAATTTAAAGAATCCTTTAATTGACCCTGTGCCCCTTCGTTTTATGGGCACGTTCTGTAACCATGCCCCGACAAGGTGCAAGCTCCCTGTAACAAGTACGATCACCTTACTTGTCTTGGGTTTCGCATTTTTATCATCATTGCAAGCGAATCTTTCAGCGACATCTATGGCTTCTCTCACGCTTCCATAAACGGCAGTGAGGGGGTTGCGTTCCCACCGTGAATATGCATTCATTAGATCCAGTTGCTTCGAGAGATCCTTCCTTTCCTCGCCAATAAGATCAGGGAACGCCTGATTCGGACAGAAAGCCGCAATAGTAAATATTCGAGACAAGGAGACAAAGTCTCTCCCTCGGCCTCCTTCACGGGAATACTCCGAAGGATGATTTAATTCACGATTGAGCTGGGTTAAGAGTTCATAAAGAAGTGCTACTCCGTCTCGTTCATCTTGGTTGAAAATCAATACCACGGCTTTTGGGACGCCTTGCTTGGATGCTTCTTTGATGCGAGATGCAAACCAGGTTCCCACGACCTGCAATCCGCCCTTGGTGTGGGAGCCATCGATACAATATTCCACGCCATTGTGATTGTAAATCTCGCAGCGGCCGGGCAATTTAACAGTTTCCAGACCTGTAACGAATTTTGGAGGGAGGGCAGCTTGGCCATTGAGCAGTTCAGAGTAAGTAGGGAAGCTTTCTGGGATGTTGAGACCTTGGAGGTGAGATGCCGCAACGGAAACTGCTAAGCTTGCATTGTCTTTCTGAAAATCACCAAGCAGGCCGAGCTTGATATCGCCCAAGTTCAGAGGCGGTAGCCTCTCTACCACTGTGATGTTCGAATTCTTCTCATCTGCTCTCTTTTGAAGGACCGCTAGAGCTGTTGGTGGTTGTAATGTTATGAAAACTGGGACATCTTGTTTGATGATACCACCTTTATGCCAGGCAATCTCCTCAATCGTCCCCCCAAGCATTTCAACATGGTCCAGCTCCAACTTCGTGATCGCGCAAACAGACACTGCTTCCGGAGGCAAGATATTAGTGCTATCATACTCCCCTCCAATCCCACATTCAACAATAGCAGTTTTGACGCCCATCTCCATAAAAATCTTCAACGCAAGAATCGTTAGAAATCGAAAATATCCTGGCCGCAGTTCCAGCGAATTACTCATATTTTTATCATCTCCAAACGCTCTCCACAACTCCTGGAAATGCCTGATAAAGTCATACTTCCTAACGGGGACACCATTTATCCTGATTCTCTCTCTGATATCCGTAAGATGCGGACTGGTGAATGTCCCGATGCTCCCCTCCAACCCCGTCCCACGATACTGTATCAGAATATTCTCAACCATCGCGCAAACGCTTCCCTTCCCACTCGTACCCGCGACATGGATACACCTCACCCCTCTCTTCGCAATGTCCCCTGGTACATATCCTGCCTTGCGGAACCATTCCAGCATTTCTGGGATCGCATCGTTAATCTGGTTGCGAGTCTTGGTCGGATCGGAAAGGGTGGCGCGAATTGCGCGATTGGATTGGAGTGTTGAGAGGAGAGAGACAACTTCTAGGTAGGTGTAATCTAAGGGTTGGTAGTCATCCGTTACAGGAGTCCGCGTTTGGATTTGACAGGAGGGTATTCGATATGGCGGGGGAGGAGGAAGATACTTGAATGTTGAGATTGCGATTGTGCGACGGAGGGCCGGTGGGAGGAGGTAGAAACCCTTCATAGGTGCTTGCGCTTCATCACAGCTCTGAGATACGGAGACAACGGGTGGGGTCCGAGTCGCAAAAAGTGGATGCTCACCTCGATGATGGTGTTGCGGGTTCAAAAGAGGTTGGCTTTACCTCCGCTCACCTGGAGTACTCCGCTCCGCACCCATACCCCAGATTTCGAAGACCGGGCCGGGAGCCGAGGTTTGAGTACATACTGTACCAGTAGCGGTTTCAAGCATCAAAAGAAAATTCATGACGTATTTGAGGGGACAAGCTTTTAGTACAAGAAGATATATTTAAGCCTAATTTAGGTAGATAACTTGGCCATAAGTCTATAAAGTAAAACCAGCCACTTTTTGGGGCATAATCTAACTTGTAATTTAGTTGGTCCATGACGTATTTGAGGGGACAAGCCTTTAGTACAAGAAGATATATTTAAGCCTAATTTAGGTAGATAACTTGGCCATAAGTCTATAAAGTAAAACCAGCCACTTTTTGGGGCATAATCTAACTTGTAATTTAGTTGGTCCACATCACTACAAAAAGTCACCCAACTTGGAATGCAAAGGGCATCAATCTTATTAGGAGCCCAAAATTACTCGTAGCTGAATATATTGATATTCAATAATACTATACCATACCCGAGCATAATCTCGCCTACTATTGAATTTTCTCGCGAACCTCACTTGAATAACTCGGTTGTCTCAAAGCTCTTAGCGAATCTGAATCAAAAGGTCTGATTTACAAAAACAGTAATCCCCAAATATTTTCTGTTGGCAATTTGATACCAGATAGGGTTAATTATTATAGGAAACCCGAGAAATGACACAAAGTCTATAGCGTATTCTTTTAATCTAATAATTATCATTCCGTCTACTCTACAAGTCCTTGAGCATTCACCTTGTCCGCCTGATGTTCCATTGCGTGCCCTTGTCCCTTAAGCTTAATAAAAATTATATTTATATTTAATTCCAGTCTATCCTCTCCAAATTAAACAAAACAAATCTAATGTGCAAACCTGAAATCCTTCCTTCTGCTTCCCTCAAGTTCTGTATTTGTCTTGTACGCATATTGTTCCTCGGGAGTCATCTTAGCCCACTCACGATCCTTTTGCTTGTTCCTGTATACATAGTAGAACTTCGTAAACACGAACAGGCATAACGACAGAATATTAACGATAATCAGATTCCGATTTCCGCGATGGTAGTAAGGCTTGTCATCTTCTCGGTACCTAGAATAATATTAGTTGTTGTGCTTCTCGTAAAGCGAGAGAAGGGCAAGGGAATATACATAAAGTTGGCACATATGTTTCCTAACTGCACCGCCATATTATAAAATGCAGTTGAAACACCGCGCGCCCCCACGTTGTTCGAGTTCTTCGAGGCCCATCCCACCAGAATAGCATGACAATAAGGATAACTCAGCAATACGGTCGTGATAGCAAAAGTGCCCCATGCATCATGGAGTGCTCCACTCCAAAATCTCAAAGCGATCAAGCAAGGTAGCGTCCAAATAGGTTGAAGAATGGACACCAAAGCTCTCGAATTGAGTCTCTCACTTAACCAAGTAAGCCCAATAAGCGTGATAATATGAGCAACCGAGTACGGAATCGTCATAAGGTTAGCATCAAAAGTACTGAATCCCAAACTCCTCAACGTAAGCGTGATGTAGGTAGCTGGTGGTGATTGCGGGATATAAGCGATCAGTCCAATCGCGTATAGAGGCCAGAGATCATAGTCCTTTGCGGCTTCCCAGAGACGTTTAGGTGTGATGGCTTGTCGGTTGTGCATATCTCCTTTGCTGGGATCATCGCGTAAGACTCGGTTTACGACGATTTTTAGTTCGCGATCTGTGAACCATCCCTTTGGTCGGAACCAGGTTTTTGTTTGCGCCGCTGAGGCAGGCATCATGAAGAAAGAGGCGAGCCCTATACAAAGAGTGAGGGCTCCTTCAATCAGGAAAAGCCACTGCCAGCCTGCCCACCCTCGAATTCCACGCATACGAAGGAGACCGAAGGCAAGGAGAGAGGTGACAATTGTTGTTGTGGAGAGGGCAGACCAGAAGTAGGAAAGACGGATTGGAAGTTCGCGAGAGGTGTAGAAGTAACTCAGCCAGAGAACAATGTCTGGAATGAATCCACCCTAGTGCTGCACGTTAGCTTGAAATTGAGAACTTGTAGTGGAGGGGGACTTACTTCGAGAAGCCCTAAAAGACAGCGAGTGATATAAAATCCCGTTCGATTGTGCATAGCGCATTGAGACATGGCTACTGCCGACCAGAGACTGATTTGAATTGGAATCCATCTATCGGGTCCTATCAATTTCCCAATAAGCTGCGAAGGAAGCTCGGCTAGTAAAAATGAGAAGAGAAATATGACATTTCCAAAATTGTAATCTGTTCGCGACAAGTCAGAATCGTGAACGATGTCAATCTCAGAAACATACCATTGGTATTCAAGTTCAAATCATCCAGTAAATTATCCGCATTCGCTTGAACCAAATTCCCACGATCAACCTGAAGCGCAAAAAACATGACACACTGTTGAAAGCATTATCAGTCATTACACACAGACTTAATGATTGATGTGCATAACTCACAGCCCACATACAAACACGCCAGTCCAGTCTCCTAACCAATTTCTTCTCTTCTCCGGGTGTCCAGGTGAAAGTAGGATCGAAGGAATCTCGGCACTCATATTGACATTTTTCGTATATATTGGCCCAATGGGCCGCGACATCGGGATCCAAGAAAGGATTGTTCTTCAGGGCATCGCCGTTCTCGTCGGATGCAAGATCGCTGGAAGCTGCAATGTCTCGATCTTTTGGTACCGGATCGCTAAAGGTAGCTATTTCATCGTACTGGATTTTGTTCTTGCTATCTGGATCACTAAATTCTTGGCTAGAGCTGTTGCTTTTCACAGAAGCGCCAGCAGCCGTTTGTTTCGACATGTTCTCGGCAATCAGATGAAGCAAGCTGTTCTTGCCCGAACTTCTGGTTTTGGCGATGCTTGGATTTCAATAGGAAGAAGGGACTTGATTCTTATGATAAGACGAGTCTCTCGACAACGCAGCGTCTATGTCTGAGATGATGAAATAGTGTCGCCGATCACGACTGAGCAAGAGTGGGAAATTCAATATCCCAAGACACCCCAGAGTCTCCGTTTTCAAAACAAAAAGCGCCGTCGACTGTAATCGTTTCATTAGATATGGTAGCCAGCAATAGCCAGGAACCGAGGCCGTAAACCCTTGGACTTGCAGAGCTTCCCCTCTATTCGGCTCGTATCCCAGCTCTCCTTATGCATATGTTCTGTTTCCAACCAATGATCCTCGTGGTTGCACAGTAGGAAGGAAATACCAGGCATAACCCACAGAAACAAGTGGACTATACGGAGGGGAAAAAAGAGATCTTTCGCCTCAATAGCTCGGCGAATAGCGCAAACTCAGTCTACCGAGAGATACGCAATATCGCTAAGAAATAGAGTGATAGAAGCTTTCCATACTTGATGCCAAAACAGCGGGAAAACAAATAAGAGAAACGCCAACAACTGACACCTTGCAACTTAGACCCAAAACATTCCATCAACCGAGAGTGGCGGATATCTGCAAGCGACTCATCGGTGTTACCGCATAACGGACCCTCCTCGTATACAGGTGCGGACTATCCCCCCCTTCTCCAACGCGGTCGTCCACCAAGCCCAGCAAGACTTAATTCGTGCAAATTCTCTGTGGTATGAGACAATACCACTTAAGATCGCATCATATACGCAGACCCCGCTTTCCCAAACCTCGAAAGCTTGAGAGAGGGACCCCACTCCCCGCACCTACTAGTAGCTAAGTACAGAGTATCGAGCGCGCCGGCGCCGCCTTACAATTTTACAAGTCTTACTGAAAAAAGGGTTATCAGAGACTTCTGATTGGAAGACGGAAACCCGTGTCAAGACGACCACAAGAAAATACATCAAGGGTCCCTGAACCAACATGCCCATCTCTGGTGTTGTTTTGGGAGGAAACGACGTTGGCGAAAGACTTCCCTGGCATGTCGTGCTTTCGCTTAATGTAACCTTAAAATTTATCACGTGACAAATTCCACTTCTCCAGCGGCCTGCTGATTCTTGTAAGCAACCCAGACTCTTGGTGGACAAGAAAAGTGGCAAAGATCATCTTTCTCTCTATTCGAGTAAGTTGATTGGAAGTATAAACATGTTTTAGATTCTTTGGGAGATTTGCCAGCTGTCCCGGACTCTCCGACCAAATTATTGAAGTCAAGCTAAGACAATGGAAATGGAATCTGCCACTTTTCATGTATCCCGGAGGTCTAGTTGAGGACAGAATGATGGTGTTATCGACCAGCTAACTATTGAAGTCAAAATCTATGGCACTGGGTTTGTATGTATGATCTAAATATGAACGTGTATCATGATAGACTTCCAGAGTCGAGTTGAAAGTTTTCAGCACTTGAATCACTTCACCCGATACCTTGATTTAATTCAAGTCCATGTAAAATGGATAAAATTGCTGATAATATACTTATATGTGCTCAACTAAACCACGATAGCAAGAAAAGAACTCAAGATTTGGCAGCTTCATCCCCAACCTTCGCCTCCCGATTCTCAACATCCTTCATACCCAAAGCCTCTCGTCTCCCAGTGCTCTCGGGATCAAAGAACGGTTTCTCGCCTACACTCACAGCCCGAACACCATATCTATCACCTAGGCCATCAATATCATAAGTAGCAGTGTGGAAAACACTTCTGTTATCCCAAATGGCAATATCATTCTTGTTCTGCCATTTAAACCTCACTTGCAGATCATGGTTGTCCACAAGTAACCGGTTAAACCACTTGAGTAGTGCTTTACTCTCCAAGTCGGTGATACCATTGATGTGAGAGATGTGCCCGCCAACAGGGAAGATTGACTTCCATCCGGTCACTGGGTTGGTGCGGACGACTGGGTGAACGGCTTTGAGTTCTTTGCCAATATTGAGTGGAGAGCCACGCGGTTTCTCGTAGACGGCGAATCCACCCTTAGAAGCAGCTTCGATGAAGCCTGGCTGATGGAAAGTGCAAGTCAATCCCTCCAAGAATTTCTGGTATGGCTCAGAGATGCGATCATAGATCTCGTATCCGCTGGCCCAAAGAGTATCACCACCAGTTTTTGGCAGAATCTCGAGTCTCAAACTTGAGTAATCTGCAGGCGCTGGCTCAAAGGAAATGTCTGCGTGCCAGCCTCCAGCGTTTTGTTTTTTTCCGGATTGGTTGATGATACTGTTGTTGGCGTACAACTTCTTATTGAGAACGCTGTCGATGGTACTTATTTCTGGATCCGTTACTCGGTAATCTTCGCGTTCTGAGTTGAGGATTGGATGAATATGGAGACCTGAGTCCGCTGGTTTTCCGGAGAGAAGTCCAAGTCTCTGAACAAGCTGTTTTTGGAGATCTGCGGTAAGGTCGTCTTGAGCTCGGAAGAAGACGACTCCTCGCTGGGAAACTGCTAATGTATCAGTACCATGTGGGTATGAATGGGAATGGGAAATCATACTTGTAAGTGCCAATTCCCTGATGAGAGCATCGGAATTTGGAGATTGAAGCCATTGTGCCAAGCTAGCATGAGGAAATTCTCGTCCAATAATTGGAGTGACGTCGAAATTCTCATACTCATCTAGCGCTCCGGTGCTTTTAACCCATGGCTTTGGAGATGATAACTTTGCTTTTCCAGCGGCAACTGGAATTGCAGATAGGTTCAGCGTCTCGGTTGCCGAAGGTGCCATTGCGATGTCTGTGTTTATTCTTTGTTTGAGCTGAGAGAAGATAGCAATATAAAGTTTCAAGTACAAACGATTAGAAGGGGCACTCTGGAGGTATTTATCCTTGAAATGATCAGCTCAAGAAGCACACCATCATATCAAAGGGTGGCTTCTCGCAATCAGGACTAGTTATCGTAACGGATATACCTAGCCGTGAAAGTCCAGGTTACCTGGTGGGTATTTCCGTAAGTAATCTAGCGTACTGAGGAATATACTTCAGACAATGTCTCATCGTTCTGAAGGACTCCGCTTCATACTCGAGTAGATGATTGTTGGGTACGTTGTAGTCGAGTTATGGGTCTTCGCCCCCGCCATTGATGCTGTGTGATTTGACCCATGTCTTACGCCATATCAACTTTGCTTGGTATCAATAATTCGCAAAGACGGAACCCCAAAATGACGCCATGAACGGTATTCATAAGTGGGAGTTCGAATATGATAAGCTCCAAGCGGAAGCTTGAGTTTAAACCCCAACATAAATAGAAATGCCTCTGGCCTATAGAAGCAAAGGAATGATTCCACGTAGAAAGTGTTTGATATCATCCTTGTAACAAGGCGGCGGCACCTTCTGAGTAATCTTAGGCTTTTAAATCTACACGCGGAATTGGAGCGATGAAAGAACTCAATAGCTAAACTCTGACTGTTATCATACAGGTTGCCACATCGACGAATCGTGCGACCAATGACCAGAAACCAGAAACAGACACAACTCTGAGCTTGCATTTTAATAACATGAAAAGGGCCGATCAAATTAGTTTTCAGATATAAATGTCCAAGGAAAGGATGGCCCATGGCGTGAATAAGTGGCTGTGCAACTGTGGCTGACAAGCTGCTTGGAACTATACAGTACATCAATTTCCATCAGAAAAGATCTTTTTTTTACATTTCTATGGGATATTATCGATTCAATGAGAACCAATAGCTATTATGATCATTTTTGATAGAGAGCTATTTCTAAGTGAGCTCAACCAACTAAATTCCTCCCGTATGATTGGTCGGCGTCTTATGTCCCACTATAATAAAGTGAATGGAACATTCCGTATGTTTGTAGCTGCATACTCATCTGTGGTAGGAAAGAATGTGAAAAATAGTGTTTCGTAGACTCGAACTACACCCTTACTTCTGTACCTATCTTACGGTTTCTTATCTACACTTCCCTGGGCGACTTGAATTCCGCGTCTGCTTAGCGTGGGCCTTTGCTCGAGACAAGAGAGGGGCGAGGAGGGAAGAAAGAGATAGAGACTAATAGGCGGCTCTAGAGCGTACTTATTAGGCATGACATTGGACGGAAGGCTCTATTATTAGAGACGGTACTTCCAATTAGTGCAAGCCTTTGTACAAAAGTATAACTTTATGTTATATAGTAAGTACTGATGAAATGGTCAGATCCAGAACACACAATGGTACTTTGTAGTAGATTAAGCAAGTTCTAGACGTCCTTCGTAACTAGGTAGTACTCTTGATATCGTCATGTATTCTCCCTATAATCTTTCATTTATACTCGGGCTGGTAAAAGGAAGAGAATTCGACGTACCTATGTTCTAGCTCGAGCTTAGATCTCTAACATTCGGATAGCTAGAACTAACACTACAGGGTACTTTGTATTCTATAAAGTGAGCGGGGTATGCCCTTTGGGACGGGATAGCTTAGTAGATAGACAAAATGATACTCTATTCCTAAACACTTATCTCGAAGTCCTTTACTTTTAGACGTATATAGGTTTATTTTCACTATAATTTCTATCCATTCAATTTCCACTGGCGGCGTTAGCGCAATTTCAGGTATCAAATCCCGCTTATAAAAGACCTAGTTACTAGCGCAAAGGGAAGCGCACTGACTATTATACTATGTGTACTCTCAAATGTTGTTATTCTAAATGTCTAACACAAATAACTTAAATGCCCTGTTTTACCTGGGCCAATCAGAAGTGAAAGGTAACAATCATCCCAAACTGTTCGTATAATAATTTTAGTTGTATGGGGCTTTTAGGATAATATTCTTCTAACCTAGGTATGTATATATAGAGTAATAACCACGTCCCTTAGCATACTTACAAATGGGAGTTTTTCCCCCTTTTCTGTTCCGCAACCAATTATTTACAACACGTCTTGATTAAGCAATAAAATACCGGTATATACTATAAGTCAATAGAACATACAATACATGTATACGCCCATGTTCCGTAGGGGCCCGTGCCCCCACAGGGACTACAGTATCTTTGAAATCCAACAAACCTGCGAAAGGTCAAGACAATGTTTTTACAAATTTCCAACCATATCTTTCTGTAGAAACCACTAAAATTCCCCATCTTGGAAGTCGAGGTCTTGACGCTCTCAAACGGTGGTGGGGCTACAGTACTACTACAAGACCACTGCCCCACAAATCACATACAATACCCACGGCTTCAAAAGTTTCCCATTCTACCTCAAACGGTGTGTGAGTTGACAAGCCAAATCGGAAGCTGAAATCTTCAGCATCAAATCCGATTTTTTTGGAAATTTCATCTGCTCTTGCTTTTCATCTTATCGCTCCTCTCTTCTCTCCCTCTTTACGCCGCACGGCCCTTTTCCTTCCATAAAACGAAAGAACAGAAATATTCCTCTCCTGCTACTGTAGTCCTTACTTCAAACACTTTCAAAATGGTAGCACAAACATTGGCAGAAGCATTGGCGAAGGGGTCAGCTCCTCAACTCAAGGTTGACATCGATGCGCTACTCGAAAAATTAACGTTGGAAGAGCAGATCTTGCTGTTATCCGGCAACAGCAACTGGGAAACAACACCCATCGAACGACTTGAAATTCCAGCATTGAAGGTATTTCTCAAGCTTCTGTCTAATTGCTTGCGCTCTGATTACCAGAGGTGAGAGCTAACCATCAATACAACAGATCTGGGGTAGTTCAAAGGCTACAGGCGAGGAAAGCTTTTCCAACAGCATAACCTCTCTTGGCTTTTCATCTTATATGTCACTCGCTGCGACCTTCAATGCGGAGCTTTTGTATCGAGTAGGACAAGCATTGGGCCAGTGCTTAAAAGCAAAGGGAATGCATGTATTTCTTGGACCTGTAAGTTGGTCTAAGCAGTCTTTACTTGATGGCCAAAATACCGATCGTTTTTCCGGGGGTCCTTTGCTCTCTGGAATAATGGCAGCAGAAATTATCAAGGGATTACAATCCGAACAAGTTGGAGCTGCTTTAGAGTGTGATCCGAGTCCAGAACGCATTGTGAAAGGTGTTTCGGGGGACAAAAGCGCATGTGAACAAACACATAGGTATGCATTATTTCCCCCGCTCAGTTCGGAATAAAGGTTCTTAAAAAGCATGTATAGAGAGTATTTACAAGCTCTGAGGATGGTTGTGAAGAACTCAGACCCTTGGTGTATCATGAGCAGGCCCGCCAGTACAAAACTTGGAAAACAAATTCTACGGGACGAACTGAGGTATGATGGCTTGATAATGTCGGACTATCACTCAGCGGCATCCACTATTGAAAGTATTAATGGAGGGTACATAAGCCCCAGCTCTCTCGGATTTTCAGAAGTTGACTTTCACAGGATCGATCTACACATGCCAGGTCCAATGAGCTCGAGCTCTAGAAATCTTATAATGAAGGCAATTGAAGGAGAACTAATCAGCACAACAACCATCAAAAGCAGAGCAAGAGCGATTCTTCAACTCCTACAAAAAACCGGAAGATTGACCGAGAATTCAAACCTAGCTCAAGAAAATAGAGACGTTCGAAGCGAGAATGCCGATTTGATCAGAGAAGCCGAACTAGGTGGATTTGTGCTGCTCAAAAACAAGGGAAATATCCTGCCGCTCGATCAAGTCCAGCTGAAAAGGGTTGCTTTACTTGGTTCTCTGCCTGAGTACTCTGAACTACATGAAGAGAACCATAAAGGTGTTTCGCCACTTGAATCATTCAGCAATAGACTCGGCAAGGAAGTCGAGATCGTGTGCCCTGCTAAAGGTAATACCTTAAACCCTCCTAGTTCACTTGCCAATTCTGATCTTTACATCACCACATCAGAAATAAACTATGGATCCGCAAATGAAAAAGAAATAAAAGACGCCCACACAGAAGCCATATCATTAGCAAACAACGCAGACTACACCATAATCTTCACCAAGACCACCAACCAAACAGAACTCAACGCACAAACCCAACTCATCCCCCAAATCACAAACTCAACCCCCAACACAATCGTAATAAATACATCAACTTCCCCGATCCCCGTCCCATGGCTACCAAACATCGCAGCTTTCCTACAAACATTCTACACAGGACCGGGAACCCTGAATTCAATTCTGGACATCTTATTAGGAGACGTCACTCCATCAGGAAAACTCCCCTTCCCATGGCCCCAAGACAACCCCCAAAACGAAGAAGAGGAAGAAGCTACCTCCACAACGCAAGCAAACCCACTCTTCCCCTTCGGCCACGGCCTAACCTACACAACCTTTACGCTCTCCAACCCCCGTCTCTTTGGAACCATAAACCCCTCAAGCGAGGGGATCACCATCTCGCTCTTCGTGTCGAATACCGGCTCGGTAGCAGGTTCGGAAACAATCCAAGCTTATATTCCTCACAAGGGTACTTCTCATTCTCCATCTGAATCCTCTACTTCTACATCCGACACACAAGGCAAGCTCATAGCATTCACAAAGATCTTTCTCGAGCCGGAAGAGAGAAGACTCGTGACGTTGAATTTTGATCGGGACGCGATTACTATATGGGATCTAGAGAGCGATAAATGGAGGGTGAAGGAAGGAACATACGAGATTCTTTTGGGAAACAGTTCAAGGAGTGAAGATCTGTGTTCAAGATTGGAATTAGTCGTGAAAGAGAGCTTTAATCTTGATTTATAAGGGCTGGGACTTGAGATCAGAACCGAGAGAAGGATTAAGATTTTAAGAACGTGCTTGTGATTGAATGGTTAGTCCAATGAAGAGCTGCCTCAGCTCAAAGAAAAGAAATATTATGAGTGTATATAACATAATTAATAGTACAGTACAACCTCCCAAGAAAACGAATATCTAACTCTCTAGGCATCTCTCATTTCCTGCCCCTCATAAGGAGTGGAAAAGCCGCATGTACGTTGCTTATTCTATCCTCTTCTTCCCCTCCTCTGCATTAGTGTATTTCACCGAACTTATCCCCCGCTCGTGTCTTGCAACAAAAGGACCAATGACCTTATCCTTCCTCGCATTAATTATGGCCTCATTGTAGCCTTCTACAGCCCAGGGTCTTGGGTTAAGTTTTGGCCAATTGACCTGTGATATGAATTAGCATCAAGACTGGCATAAGGATAAGAAGCGAATGAAATGGACTTACATAAAGCATTCCATTGGTATAAATAAAACTCAGGCAATAAGCACCAACTATCATCCAGAAAAGAATAAATATTCTCACAGGAAACACCGCAGCATCGGGAAGGCGCTTGGAAAAAGTCCCAACGAAGACGAAAAAGTAACAGAAAGCGAGAATGTAAGGAATGCTCTGGATAAGAAGAGGTCTCCGATCCGCAAATACCATGTATGAAGATGTGTTAGGGAGATACGCTCCGAGGAAGAGGTCAAAAGCATCCTGTTTTGGTCCATCCAAGAAATTGTTCTTAACATATCTGGTGATGGAGTTCTGAAGATCTTGAAGAGCGCCCGCTTTGGTTCGTTGTCCTGTTCGGGTAAAATCTGTTTTTAGAGCCCCAGTTCCGGAGTAGGAGTTGGAAACAACATCTGCGTTATCTGCCCACATCTTTCGGAAGAGAAATTCAAATTTTGGATCTGCTCCCGTAAAGTTCTCACCATGTGAAAGGATACCCGCGTCGGTGAGTTGACGATTCAGAGTCCATCTGGCTAACATGCTTTGTACTACATTTGTGCGGTCTAAGCAGTCCATACAGTTGGTACGAACGACACTCGTCTGTTGGGTTCGAACATCAAGTCCGCTTGATGCAGGCATATCGACACCTCGGAAATATTGTTGTTTTTCAAGTGCCTGATTAAGCTGGTCCAGAAGTAGTTGAGCACGATGCCATTTTAGTCCTTTGGTCTCGTTATGAAAGTCAAAGTAAACATAGTGTAGACGGTCAAAGACTTGTTGACGGACACTAGGCTCAACGATCCGGAATTTCTCATCGGTTACCTGGTCTTGCTTGCTCCTTTCAGAACTTCCAGAGACAAGATATTTGACCAACTGCTCGTATGCTTTCTTGACGCGTTGTTCCCGACCCTTTTGGTTCACAAGATTCACAAGATAGTTGTCCCCGTACAGCCGGATTTGTTCCTCGAAGTGTTTTCTCGCAGCTCCGACAGCTGACTCGACCCCTCGGACCTGTAATTTTGGCGTGTAGTGAAGGGTGTTGATTTCAGTCCAATAGACGGGAACACTTCCTCGAGTTTGTACGTAAGACATGACTTGTGCCTCTTTCCCACCGGATCCACCAATTTTTCCATTCTGCATCCCACCACCTCCAGCAAACCCACCCAACCCACTGTTGCTATCATTCAAAACGATGATTTGCTCGGTTTCGTTGAAGTTGGAAACATTTCCCTGCTCATCAATACCTCTTGAAAAGTACCTAGTACCAGCTCGATGGCGAGATCGTCGTGTAACGAGTGCAAAAGTGATCGGGGTGGACTTGATAGTGGTGTTCTCGATTTCAAGCATACCAAACATGACAGGTAAAATGTATGGGTCCACACCTGGCTGTTGGCCATTCTGGTTCCGGGCTCCTGAGGTTCTGAAGTCAATCAGATCCGACTGAATGAATTTGTTCCAAAAGAATCGATCATCGGCCTGCTTCCAAAGTGGCAGAGAACTGTCAATGCTGCATTTCCTTTGGAAGGTGTTGGTGATATCGGAGGAGTATGAAAAGTAAAGTGGTCCAGATTTGATGAATGTTTTGAGTAGTGAAAGATATGTATCTTCATCTTGATCGTGGAGGGGTCGTTCTCGAATGGGGAGGAATTCCGTAGTGATGACTTTGTACATTATATGTCCCTTCAATCTGCCCACTGGTTTGGCTTCCTTGATAACAATTATATATTTGTCTGCCGTGGGTGTCAGCCCTACTATGCCACATTATACTGTGCGCCGGGGCCCATACCGAGTCTCAACTTGATCATTCCCAGAATACCAGCAATGCTCGAAATACGTCTACCCCCCTGGGAACCGCCGTCATTCAAGTGTACATCTCCAGAAGGGCGATCAACCACGAGGGCCGGGGATGATGGCGACGAGGGAGAGGTAAAGGCGTAGTGCGAGGCTGATGCGTGAACATTGATATCACGGTATAGGGACGGAGTTGCCATGATGGGCTAGTGGTTGCAAGAGCGAGAGCAAAGCGGCTCTGCAGTCTCTAAAAGTCACCTAGACTAACATGCAATTGTGGCGCAATTTCAGGGGCAATTGACAGTAGCCGAGTGGGTTTTTGATGAGCAAGGTGGTACAAGTATTGGTGTTGATGGAGACTTGTCTTCTCCAGCGCGGCTGAGCCTGAGCTACGGGGTAGAGAGAGCTCCCAAGGTTGAAGGGGGTCCGGGGGTCGAAGGATGTCATGGGTGCCTCTACGAGTCCACTGTCGGTCCGTCTTGTGGCCGACCTCCGCGTCTTCGGCAGGGAATCGGCCATTCCGAGGCTCCAATCACCGCTCGATGCGGATGGGAGACTTGGGTGAGAACATCAAATATTACGTAATTGCTCCTTCCATTGTGCCAACTGAGCCACCGCCCAGCATCAGCCAGTGAATCCGCTGGGGGGGGATTCGGGCATTCAGGGCAGCCTGAGTAGTCGACGAGAGACCGTCGTCACCATACTACATACGAGTGACCGCCGCTCACTTCCAATAACAACCACCTTCTCCAGACCACCCTCACCCTCACCCTCACCCACACTATTTACCATCCCGGACCTTACAATCCTACAACTACTTCTCCGCCCGGTAGTTTACTTGACCTTGGCAACATCAACCTTTCACCTCCCGCCTTCCCTCTTTCACGAATTCACACATCCCATCTACTAAGATGGCTACCCGCCCAGGCGCCCGTGGAGGGAACTCTCGATTTGCGCAGTTCAAGCTGGTGTTGCTAGGTAAGTTGAAGCTTCCGCTATCGTGATAGCAGGTCAACCGCTAACTTGAGCGCAGGGGAATCTGCCGTGGGAAAGGTGCGCTCTCTTCTATCCGATAGCCCAATACACCCTCACTGACGTCCATCTAGAGTTCCATCGTCTTGCGTTTTGTCAAGGTACATACATCTTCTTCAGCAGCACCAAGCGCATGTTAACCACCGCCATGTATAGGACCAGTTCGATTCATACAGAGAAAGCACCATCGGCGCTGCCTTCTTAACGCAAACGATATCACTCGACGATAATACCACTGTAAAGTTTGAGATATGGGATACGGCAGGACAAGAAAGATACAAGTCACTTGCGCCAATGTATTACCGAAATGCCAACTGTGCTGTTGTTGTGTATGATATTACACAAGCCGTAAGTATTCCCAGAGCAAGGTAATCTGAGAGGGTGGATGCTGACAGTCTTTGTAGTCGTCGTTGGATAAGGCAAAACAATGGGTGAAGGAACTTCAAAGACAGGCCAACGAGAACATAATAATTGCTTTAGCTGGAAACAAGCTCGATTTAGTCGGCGAACACCCCGATAAGCGTGCTATCCAAACAGCCGATGCCGAAGCATATGCTAAAGAAGCTGGTTTGCTCTTTTTCGAAACGTCTGCGAAAACAGCCGAAAATGTCCGAGAATTATTTACATCGATTGCGAAGAAGCTACCGTTAGATCAAGCCGGACCAAGAAATCCCAGATCCGGGGGACGAGGAGGCGTGGAACTACGACCCAGCGAGGCTCCCGGAACACAAGGACCAGGTTGCGCCTGCTAGAGAGAGATTTTTTTTTGAGTACGGGTATCATATTTTCGAAATTCGGGGCATAGTCTTGCGGCGAGATATCTTACGGCGTGCTGCTTGTCGTTCGGGTAGGGATTAATCCGAGGGCAGCACGACCGTCGTTCTTTTTCAACGAAAAATTGCTTGGGGTGGCAGAATGATGGCACGACACACATACTACCTTTGGCATCAGCATGACCATGGCCCTTTTATGAGAGCAGTCTTTAATAGCTTGACGTGGCTTGATTCTCGTTGTCTGGATTGGTAGGTGGAAGCGGAAATATTTCGTCCTGCACGGCGTGAGGGTTTTCTATTGAATCGAATCGTTCTGTTTCGCAGCCTTGGGTTGTATGATATTGCAATAGAGCACAATCACATGCATTTCAGTTTCTTACTTGGGTACGAGCACGGGTGTGGTGAAATGTTTCTGGGTCGATGCGGGTGGTAAGAATGAACACGAACATTATATTTCCTACCACATATTACTTTGCACAACGGTGACATTTGCCTTCCAAAATATACGAAAATAGAGACATTCAAATTGTAGTTTCCCCTGTGAAAATTCTACTGATGCCCAGCAAAAATAACTGTTATAGTTAGTATAGGTATTAGCAGCCTTGTCAGTTCGAGGCTGCATCATCGACCTTGGCAGTCCAGCCAGCAAGTTCCAGTGACGGGACTCGTTTTTCCTCCCGAGTTCACGCGCTGTCAAGAAACGTCGCATCAACAACCTCAACCACATCCTCCCTCCTCAACGCAGCCCGTCATGCTGCGCGCCTCTCTTCGCTCATACCTGGCGCTGGGTCAACAGCCCAGTGCTGCCAGTGCTGGGCGGCAATGGCATGGGATACAACAGATTCGGGTGAGTGCGGGATACTTCTTTCAAGAGCTTTGGGCGCATCACCTCAAATTCTCAATTGAGGAAAATCAAGTACTAATCGTGTGGTTTCCACATAGAGAGGATATGCCGATATCAAAAAGCCATCTCTCGCCGATAGTAAACCTGCTGTACTCCCCGGCTCTGGGAGCTCGACCTCTCCTCAGCCTCCACCTCCAGGACGCCCAACTGTAGTAGCTCAATCCTCTCTAAAGACACCTACACCTACAACGCCTGCCTCAAAGACCATTCCAGCAAACGATGTTCCACGTACTCCACCACCACCGCCAAGTAGCACCATCAAGGCTGCCCAACAGACACCCCCTCCCCCACCACCACCACCGAAACGAACAGGGAGAGTTCGCAGATTCTTAACAACTCTCATACTTTTGACAGCTTTGGGTTTTGGAGGAGGTGTCTACTATTCAAGAATTAATGACAACTTCCACGACTTTTTCACGGAGTACGTCCCGTTCGGAGAAGATGCCGTGTTATATTTCGAAGAGAAGGATTTCCGCAAACGCTTCCCAGTGGTTGGCCGTTTAAGTAGACCACGGGATACTGGAGATCAGATAAAGATTCCGAGTCAGTCGGGGGTTTCATGGAGGGTAGCAGAGGACAATAAAACCGAGACGGGACGTCACGCAAATGCTGTGAAGGATACACCAAAGCCAAAAGAGGTTGCGAAGGTTCAAAAGCCAAAACCGGCGGAGAGCGTTAAGCCCGTAGAGGCAAAGAAAGAACCTGCACCACCAGCTTCCCCTCTTCCAAAATCTCCTAACGCACCATCACCCGCAAAGCCGAGCCATCCAGTAACCCAAGAGGCAATTGCGCCCGCTGCAGTTGCATTTACCGCCCCAGATGTTGATCAGCCGTCTAGATTTCCACCCGAGGTCACTCGAATCGATCCAATCAATATCAAGGATGCCAATGAACCTTTGGTACAGGATCTTGTCAAGATCCTCAACGATATAATTACTGTTCTCAACGCTGACAACTCCAATGCAAAGTTCTCCAACACTATTGGAAAGGCTAAGAGTGAAATCGCCAAGGTTGGTGGGAGAATTCAAGCTCTTAAAGATGCTGCGCAAAAAGATGCTGCTGCGCAAATCATAAGCGAAAAAGAGGATTTTGACCGTGCCGCCAAGGAGCTCATCCGCCGTCTCGAAGCAGAAATGGCGAATCAACAATCAGCGTGGCAAGAGGAATACCAAACCGAACGCCAGAGGATCAAGGAAAGCTATGAGCAGAAGTTGAAGGCTGAAATTGAGCGTGCTCATGAAGTCAACGAGCAGCGTTTACGCAATGAGTTACTTGAGCAGGCCTTGGAGATGAAGAAAAAGTTCATGGCTGATATCAAAGATCGCGTTGAAGAGGAACGTGATTCACGTTTGGGCAAACTTACAGATCTGTCAAAAACCGTGACAGATCTTGAGAAACTAACCACCGACTGGAATTCAGTTGTAGACTCTAACCTCAAGACTCAGCATCTACATGTTGCCGTTGAGGCAGTCCGTGCCAATCTCGAAAAGAGCGAGGTTCCAAGGCCATTTGTCCGTGAACTTGCAGCTTTGAAGGAAATTGCATCAGGGGATGCGGTTGTGAATGCAGCAATTGCATCAATAAACCCTACCGCTTACCAACGCGGAGTCGCGTCTTCGTCTCAACTTATCGATCGGTTCCGCCGTGTTGCTACTGAGGTCAGAAAGGCTTCACTTCTTCCAGAGGATGCCGGTGTTGCCAGCCATGCCTCTAGTTATCTCCTCAGCAAAGTCTTGTTCAAGAAGCAAGGTCTTGCCACTGGTGACGACGTTGAGAGTATTTTGACGAGAACGGAAACATTCCTCGAAGAGGGTAATTTAGACGAGGCTGCGAGAGAGATGAATGGATTGAAGGGATGGGCGAAGACTTTGAGCAGGGATTGGTTGGGTGAGGTCAGAAAGGTATTGGAAGTGCAACAAGCTTTGGATGTAAGTGTTCTCTTTTTAAACGCCGAATTCGCATACTAATTCATATCAGGTTATCGCTACTGAAGCGAGATTGCAGAGCTTAAGGGTCGAGTAAGGAAGCGAGGCCTTCTATCCTTTTTCTTTTGTACACGACCACCCTTGGTGAGAGTCGATTAAGGTAGGTAGGGGTTTGAAAACTGCTAGCTACCTCTGTAATAGGTAGACAAAATAGAAATGTACTTTATCACACAATCGGGGTATCTATGGGGTTTTCACGCCGCTTGGAACTTTGAATATCCGCCTCCAGGCTTTCATGGCTATCGTTATTTTTTAGGGTCCGGGTTGGAGCCCGGCTGAGGCCCCAAGTGTTTCTCAGCCCAACCTGGATTCACGGGTAACAAGAAGCCTTCCTGTTTTGGCGAAGCTCTTCATTCCCGTCTTGGGGTACTCGTCACTAAAGCTTAACAAACGGTCTTTCATACTTCGTAGAAGGGAAGATGGTTAAACCTGGTTGTTGTCGTCGATCATATGTAGAGAGACGTAGTGGAGGGTCTGGACAGCTTGGGTCTCCCCCCTGCCCCATTTTCACTTTCTAATATTCCTGCACATGAACCGGACAAATCAATTGGCTTAAAGGGTTACATTGTGGGGTTATACCCTGCCTATAATAAAGTCGAATACCAGGGAGGGGAAGACGTGAGCTGTCCAGACCCTTTCCTCCGTAAATGTGTATTTCGAACAAGTGTGCGTCTCTGATTCGCCGTTTTTGTTGAAAGATGGGGCGGAGGATTGCGTTAAAAGAATCTGATCTTGCCATTAATACCTCATGGCTGTTTGGGTGTTGGAACGGCTAGAATGGTTTCAGCGGTAGGTCCCGGCGGGCGAGGTCCCGAGGTCGGTTCGCTTGGCTCACGTGACTGACCTGGAATGCTCCTTGAAGGTTCCTTTGGAAGGACCTCAACCCATTCGTACCTTCCCCTACAAATACCCTTGAGGTCGTCAAACAGGCTTATTCTCTGGAGCTCTCGGATTGATCACTTGATTCCCACATCAATGAAAGATACTCGAACTCAAGAAGTCTAGGAATACGAAAGATTTGACATGTGTGTTTACCGAGGGGTTTGGAATGCCTCCCATGTGTACATCAGAAAGAGACACGGCGTGAACCACACCATTGCACTAAAAGGTTCTGTACAATCCACAACTTCTTATTTACAGCTAAGTACCCCATTTTGGGTTCTGGGCCTGACACTGCAGCTATGGGATTTGGGAAGCTTCCTTTTCAGGTGAGGCTCTTGATTCCCTCCCGTCTTGGTTTCTGCATGTTCTTTATCATGAAATTGACCTTAGAATATCGAGAGGGGGCGTCTGGTTTATCTGCACTTTGGCGGGGTGGCGCGTTTATTATTGCGGCTTATGGAGTATTCTAAGCGCAGCCTGCAGGTACGCATTTCTCCAACTGCACTGCATATTCTGGGGTACATGCACTCTGTAAACATACCTACAAAGACATCATTGTTAAGCTTCTCGCATACTGATGCTTTCCCCCACACAGATCTCTTGAAATGTCGTCAGCTTCATATCTTTGAGACAATCCCCTCCTTGAGAGCCGTCCAGAATAGCTTCCAGATCCGGTTGCTTGATCAATTGCGTGATATGTAAATTCATGCACAGAATACGGAGTATCTCAGTTCCTTTTGTCATCTAACCTTGGGTGAGGCTGGGTTGCCAAGCCCAGTATCGCTCAGTTCTCGATCCGTCACTTGTCATTACCGTCGGAGGTCTCCATGAATAGCAGGCAAATAGCATTGAGGAGGTGGATGGTAATTTGATGGCCTGCATTTAATATGCTTCGTCCCAGGCGTAATTACTGTTACAGTTTAGTGGAGTGTTCGCCCTGTATGTTAACCGGACGAAGTGGATTCATAAAATTTCCTATCGGAGATAGGAGGGCGGCGTTTTTTTGGAGATCGTCAACCCGGAGTATAATATATTGGTACCTACGGAGTCAGATTAACCTTAAGTGGATTGAGGCTGAAATCCTCTTGGATCGCACTGCAAGTTGAGATCGTTTTTGTTTGATTCGATAAGTCTGGCACAAAGAATAGGTGTCGCCTAGTACAGTAAGCGACAAGTTATCTATCACATTTCCTTCTTGAAATACTTCCCTTGATTTACTTTCAAAAGATGTTGAACAACTTTTCAAGTTCACAACTGTCATTCACCGAGCCCGCATCTTGTGAATCTGATATGAACCCGTTTCTGAGCAACACAGTTCTTGGCGATGTATAAGAAGTCTTGATCTTGGAGGATCGGATATGCTTGCATTGGGCGTATATACAAGTATGCGGGTCGGTTCTATTGGATAAGGGTTGGAGGCGAGGTGTTTGTTCGCGGAAGAGCTTCTGAGCTTCCTTCCGTTTTGGGGTCTTGCCAAGTGCCAAGTTTGTGCTTGGTACTTGCTTGGTACTTTCCCGGGGATGTTTATTTTTTGGGAATATGGATTACGGAGCTTTGGTATCTTTGCTATCTCAGGTCTCGGGTTGCTATTGGTCAGCTTTCCAAAGATTGCGAGGAGCTTTCTTTAGGTGTAGGTTGGTGTTGTGAAAAATGTTGCGGGTGGAAACTCAGAAATCTCGGGTCACAGAGTCTCCCTGACTCGTCACTGTACTCTGTTGTCGAGGACGGCTCTTTCATTTTCTTATGTCCGAAGATACTCTGGTAATTGATGGCTCTCTTTAGAAGGAGGCATTTTTATGGTCATCGATTTGGTTGTGGGGTAATACCAACCAGGAAACATGTACGATTATGGTGGATGTACCCAAGTGTGTGGATACAATGATATATGTAATTGGCAATGCTTGGTCATAGGCGAGGGCTTTTGGGGCTTTGAAATTGGCAGCAACAAGTTCCTCGGTATCTATATCATGAAGCCGACGGGAATTTGGCAGAGAGAATAGCCGCTATCATACCTTTGAAGCAGGTGGTCGGTCGTCGTGGTATCTGTATACCTTCCTGATCTGTATTCGAACTCCCGATGTTTACGAGAGAGGGGCCTTCACAAGGGCGCTTGGGGTGTTGCTGTGTGATGGAGTAGCACGGGAGTATGTGGAAGTGTGGGTATTGAGCGATGGTGTGATGTAGAAACACTCGGGTACTTCGTATTTTGCGATATCGTGAGGACAGAGGATTGTATAAAGAGTGAAGGTATCTCATTCTCTATTCTTTTCTTCACCACCCTTCTTCACCCTCTTCCTCTTCCTTGGTATTAATTCAACTCATCATCAACATGGTCTCCTACAAGTCTCTCCTCGCTTTCAGCGCGGCTGTTCTCCCTGCCGTTCTAGCTGCTCCATCTACTCACCCAGGACACCTTAAAATCAGACAACTCGGTGATCAAGCGGAAATTATTCCAGGGTCTTACATTGTTGTCTTTGAGCCTTCTGCCGATCCTGCACTTGTCGAAGCCCACGAGCAGAGACTCGTTGGGTTGAGAAAAAGAGATACCAATTCCTCAGCAGTCGAACATACCTATTCGGTTCAGGATTTCAAGGGGTACTCCATCGCTGCTGATGAGACCACCATTGCAGAGATTGCTGCTGCTCCTGAGGTGTGTTTTGATAAATAGCCATTCTTCCTCCGAGATTTGAACTGACCAGCGTATTTAATAGGTCGCCTTTGTTGAACCAGATCAAATCATGAGAAGTTATGCTTTGACCACCCAGTCTGGTTCTACATGGGGATTGGGAAGAATCTCCCACCGTGAGCGAGGCAGCAGCAGCTACATCTATGACACCACTGGCGGAGCTGGTACTAGAGTTTACGTTGTTGACACCGGTATTAGAACAACCCACAACGTAAGTTTATGATCACAAGGGTTCGAACCTCGTTATCTAAAACTAACTTAAATTAGCAATTCGGTGGCCGTGCTGTTCAAGGTGCTAACTTCATCTCTGGTGAAAGTGTAAGTCTTCCTTTGTGGCTGGACATCAATAATTGAGCAAGTACTTACATTAGATAGGCTGCTGATTTGCAGGGACACGGCACTCACTGTGCTGGAACCGTCGGAGGATCAACCTATGGTGTTGCTAAAGCTGCTACCTTGGTTGGTGTCAAGGTCTTGAACAGCGCAGGAGAGGGTACCAACTCTGGTGTCATTGCTGGTATGAACTGGGGTAAGTCTACACAATCCCTCAATTTGCTACATATAAGGAACTAACATATCCCAAAGTTGCAACAAATGCCCAGTCCCTTGGAATGTCCACCAAATCAGTCATGTCCATGTCTCTTGGTGGTGGAGTCTCTCAAGCGACCAACAACGCTGTCAACGCTGTCTTCAACTCTGGTGTCACCGTTGTTGTTGCCGCTGGTAACGAGGACCAACTTGCTTCTAACACCTCACCTGGCAGTGCAGCAAACGCAATCACTGTTGGTGCCATTGGCCAAGATGACGCACGATCTGTCTGGGATTGCCCTCAACCATGTGGCTCCAACTATGGTTCTGCCGTCGACATCTTCGCTGCTGGAACTGATGTTCTCAGTTCTCACATTGCCAGCAACACTGCTACCCGAAGCTTGAGCGGAACCAGTATGGGTACGTTCTTCCAAGCTTCTTTACATATACATGCACTCTTACTGATTTTGAATAGCTTGCCCTCACGTCGCTGGTCTCGCAGCTTACCTCATCTCTCTTGAGGGATTGAGCAGCCCAACTGCCGTTGTCAACAGAATCAAGGCTCTTGCAACCACTGGCAGGGTCACTGACCTTCAGGGCAGCCCTAACTTGTTGGCTTACAACGGTAACGGTGCTTAGAGGGTGATTCAAAATCTTCTCGGCGGTTGTTGAAGTGGTTGGAAAGGGTCTCCGGCAGGGGATCACCTCATTTTCATGATGACAAGGAAATTTCTTTTGTTTATACTATTCTACTGTATCTATTGCTCACTTAATTAATTTGATGTTCAATTATTCGCTATTCGTTGGCTCGGTTTATATTTCTTTGTTTCCTCGCTTAGGATTGGCTACTCCCTCACCCCTTTCCCTATTGAATACGACGATCATATATGTAGTTTAGTATGTGACGACGATGAAAACAGAACTATCTCTCTTAGTTCTTATGTTTTACACCCAAAATTATCTGGCCATTTTAGTCTTAACGGCATTTTTATATAGAGAACTAGAAGAGGAACGTAGAATCATTCGAAGTCGTAGTTGTAGAGGTAGGTGGGGTAAATATACGAGGTAACCTAGGAATAGCTTCAATTTTGTTAAATAGTATATGCAATCTATCTTTATGGCAACTTTTAAATAACCCTTAGATAGTACAATCCTTTGATACTGCTCAATTTAAAGCATGTAGTGGTATTAGAATAGATGCTAGATAGTTAATATAGAATAACGGTAATCGTTGGCATAGATATATCAGGGATATCAAAGAAAGCAAAGAAACAAGGTACTGGTATAATAATCGAATATTATCTAAGTGCTAAGGAATGGTAACGTTCGAGTACTTAAGGTGCTCGAACATGTGGGTCTAATCATGTGATATAAACAAAAGGGGTCGTAAGTTTATATAAGCTTTATATATATTAAACTCTTTACTAATTAGTTCTATAGACTCTTCCTTTAAACCAGTAGAAGGCAAATAGCGGTAGCTATATTATTTAATCTATTTTAGCGAGAAGATATTTATAAATACTAGCTATTTGTACTTTAGTTACTATTTATAGTAAAACTACTTAAGTATTACTCAAGTAGTCGAATTCACTACTCTAACCTACTCAACTAAACCATCTACTCAAACCTACTCTAACCTAATTAAGTATAACCCGGATATACTTAAGTAGTCGAGTAGTTCTTTCTTTCGCTGCATGGTGTTGTGTGGTGTTTGAGACAGTCTCACGTCTCACCTGACTGGCCTCGGATATCCCCGCCGGAGTGGCTATACCGACACTAATTAATATGGTAGTCCAACTTTACGATTAAGATGCCGTAAGTGGGTAGCCGCAGAGTATATTATTCATGATTTGCACACTTTCATTGAAGTAGTCCCATTATCTTCAATACTCAAATGGCACTGTCGTTACAATCTACGTGTGAATGTAGGGGACACAGAGGGCCTGTACTTCTGAGGCTACGAGTATAGCGGCAAGCACACTCCAAAACGCGGGAAGAGCAACAAATGATTGTAAGCATGTAAATATAAGTGGGTATAAAGCTTTATCTAGAACAGGATACAAGAAACGATCAGAAAGCTTGTGGCCCAACTTTTGGGATTTTCAAGATTCCAGCGGCAAGTAATTGCTCGGCTAGGGTGAAAATCATACCATCACACCCCTTTGCCGCGACGAAGTTTACTGCTATTGGGAGCATCTCTTCTTTGAGGGTAACAGTTGAGTTGTAAGGTACTTGACCAACTAGTATTGTGTTAGGGATTATTCGAAACTATGCTTCTAAGATTTTGAGTTTTGAGGCGAGGGAAACTTACTTGGAAAAACCAGGTCAGGAGCTCCAACCCAGCTGACTAGTCTCCCTACAAAGACACTAGGTGTAAACTTAGGTTCACTGCGACGGGTTAGCCTGGCTCTCTGCCTTCAAGTCTGGCAAGCACACACCTTCGATATACCGGTTTATAGACAGGCTTTCCATCCTGAATAACATACAACATCAAACTCTCACTGCAACTCTCCGGACTTGCCTTCATGACAGTCTCTTCCCACCACTGTTTGAACACTGTTCCGTTGTTGATTGATTGATTGTAGCCATCTGAACTAACATTCTTTTGCCTCCAGTCCCAAGCAGATGTGACTCCCGGTTCAACGTAGGGTCGCCTTCCTTGGTTAGCGGCTGAGTAGTCTGCGTAAAACGGAACGGCGAGGAGATAATACTGCTGTACGGCGGTACAAACAGTGTAAGCGAGGCCTATAAAGTCTATGAACGAGGTTCCATTTGCAGCCGCTGGCGGATTTGCCTCCCATAGTTTAGGAGGGTCAATTGCTACCGGAGAGTCTGCTTGCAAGAAGTTTTGCAGCTTTGAAAGAAAATCCAAGATAACCATTGTAGCTTCAGTAGTATATGTGGAGTTATCTTTTGTTGGAAATTCAATGGTAAGGATTTTCTTAGGCATAGAAGGGAAGTTGCTTGTGATGTTTTCTGCATACAATATCTTTGCTGCTGCACGCAACAACCTTTTTCGTAGATTGAAAATTTTGTTCTAAAACGCTCAATCTCTCTTACTCTCGTTTGACAAGCTAAAATTCCCTCCATGGAGACTCCTCCAGGGAAACCTCCGATTTCGCCCACGCCCGTTGGAAGGGGCCTGAAAAAGGGGGGAGTACGCCCGATGCCCCCACTACCCAATATACAGCAGCACTTCGTTTCTGGAACCACCAAAGCTCTAGAACGTGGTGCTATAGGCCAAATCTTCTTTGGAGGTACCGCGGAAGCCGTTGACCACCACCTAAACACTGCTCTTGATAGGGCTCCCCCGGAACTCTTGCCCTACCTCAGGGCCTTTTGCACTCAGGTGGCCGACCTTAGCTTAGCTTTCCACCGAACATACACCTCAGGGACCCCGCCTCCACTACCGTCCGCTCTTGGAGCCTCCCAAAGGGGCAGAGATGGCCCTATGTCTCCTACGATCTCAACCCCCTCTCTGGCTCCTGTGGAAAAAATTTCATACGCACAGACCATAAAGAGTGCCTTAGTGCCTGAGAATCTAGGCACAACCACAGCAGCAACAACACCACCCCCTCCTACTGTTACTTTAAAGTCACAGAAGAACAAAGGCCCCCTAGCCAAACCCGATCTTAGGGTATTTATTCGACTTCCTCTAGACTCTCTTGAAAGGAAACACTCTGCCCTAGCCATCTACCTTGCACTCTGCGACCCAAAAATTGGCTGTAAAGAGCTTGTACAAGAAGTACTTTCGGTTAACTCTGGGTTTGCTATTGTAGCTAAGAGTAAAGAAGCTCTGGACACCCTTCTGTCAACAAAGAAGGCCTTTATCCAAACCCTTTTCCATGCGGCTAGAATAGAGACCTCGCAAGACTGGGCAGTATTTCGCTTATCAGGGGTCCCTCGAAGTGTCGAAACTGTCGAAATTGATGAAAAGGGGGCGATTATATCGACTCTCTCCCCAACTACAGCAAGAGTAGTAGCTACAGCAATAGGAGAGCGAATTGGAGTAGTGCCAACTAAGGTTGACATGGCTACTAGCTCTCTTTATAACGGACTATTCTTCACCTCCTGGATTGTATTCTTCAAGGAAGAGGAAGCTAGGGCCTCTCACGCTATTCCTGATATAACGTCTCTTCTCGGAAGAAGAGCCTTCTTTAAGCGACCTCCTAAAGTCTCTAATGTTACCCAATGCTCCAAGTGCTGGATGTGGCATAACTCAAGGAACTGTGGCAAGAACCAGCGATGCCGCCTATGTGGTACTACCAAGCACTCTGAAGATTTCCACCCTAGGTGTATTAGACACTCTCAGTGTAAACTGAAGTGCCTACACTGTAGTGGCCCTCATGCCTCTGACGACCCTATGTGCCAGCTTAGGCCAAAGGCTACAAAGACACACCCCTCAACCGAAAACAAGAGAGCAATTCGGCAAGCATGTAATGAGATGCGAATAAGAAGAGAAGAAGAATCTCCTTGTAGTAGCGTGGACACGGAAATGGATATTCCTACTACCCCACAGAACCCTTCACAGAACCCCTCCCAGTCGAGCATAGATAGCCCTCTTACACCGCCAAGTGTTATTCTGCAGAGAGCTAATAACTCCATAGCCTCCACACATGACAACCTCTCTACAACAAGAACCTTGGATACTTTACCCCCTATTTCACTATGAGTAGACGAAGCTTTACTAAAGCACAATGTCTTCAAGTCCTCCAGATCAATGTACACAAGTCTAGCGACTACCAGGAGCTGGTACTACAGCTAGCTCACTCTAAGCGAGTCGACGTAGTACTTATCCAGGAGCCATATATCTACCGGAGGGAGATCAGCCGTCAGATTACAAGGCGTCACCCAAACTACGACTGCTTCGCTCCTATATGCGACTGGAATATCGACCCTCCTAGAGCACTTACTTTGTACGGAAAGGAGTAGGAATCCTTGCTAGTCAGCGAACTCCTACTGCCTCTGCTCTTCAGTGCCGGGACCTTGTTTACATCGAAATCCCACTCTC